GTTAGTTACAAGCCCATCTTTTCCCTCCCTAATTCCAGTAAATACAACTACGTTGTTTAAACTTAAAATTTTTTGTTATATCTGTGCAACAAGGAAAAAAAACTGGTTTGCGTTATAAATGGAGAGATATTTTTCCTGGAACTAAAAACTTTTATATACAGAGTAACTGAGGCAAAAGTTATGTGTCTCTCTCTCCCAGGGTAAGTTTGCAGCTGAATGGTGGTTGAGAATTTGATTGGCACTTGTGTTATTAACCTACCGCTGCCTTTTACTGTTGTCTGTTTTGTCAGAACATTAGGCTTGCATAGTTATGAAGGTGTTTATAATACGTGAAAAGCGGTACTGCTGCTACAGTCAATATCAGACAGAGAAGTGGCAATTAAAGCGATTTGACAAAAGTCAGAATGGGAACTTGTAGAGCAGACCATTTTCATAAAGTTTGTCTGCCCTAATCAGACTTTCTACTTGCACGGAGAACTTCAGAGATATAATGGAACAACAAGCCTTCTTGCCTCTTAATAAGCTTATCATAAGGGTTGTATTTTACATAGGTCAATGCATGCATGCAAGGAGAGAGAGAGGCCTTTCTCCCAGTTTGAAAGCTTTGGTTATGGAATCAGAAATTATTCCTTCCAATAAATAAATACCAGTATTGCTAGAAATGAAGATTGGGCTGTTTCCTGTCTGTATCCTTTCACTGTCTAGTTAATAAACAATTGTCGAAGGTGAGATCTGTACTGTTAGTCCTGTATAGATTTTTGTTGTCCTGAACAGACAGATGCTAACTTAGTTTTCTGCTGACTTCAGGCACCTGTTCTCATTGGTATTTACTGTTAATTTTCTAAACACTTCCAGATTCTTTTCAGGTGTTTTACTTGCACATACTTTTAGTGCTAACTACCATTAATATGGAAATGCAGCTTTTAACAAATGCTTGTTCTGAGTTTTCTGCATTGGTGTCTAGCTTGCTTGCCTGAGCCGTACTACAGGTTTGTTATTTTGTTCTAGAGCGCGGTGTTAAGGCTTTACAGTTTGTTACTGCTGCTGAAAGCAGATGTCCTGCTTTCTGTCCCGCTCACTTCAGTGCCCCTGTGCATGTGCCTGTCACACGGGGCACAGGCTTGCAAAAGTACTGTCGGCTGGATTAGCTGTTGCCTTCAGCAGAGTCACTCTTCTGATATGCTTCAAGGCACGATTGCGCAAATTCTTGTGCTGGCACGAGAAAGGAGTCTGGAGTGAAAAGCTGAGGACGGGAGGCAGGATGGGACTGCTGCTGTGGTTTAGTGTTGGCTGGAATAAAGTGTCCTGACTTTGTATGTGGATACCTGCTCTAGGGCAGAAACTGCTCTTTTTTTATTGAAACAAAAGCCTAGCGGTATTTTAAAGCAGTGTAAGCAAAAAAAGAAGGGCACAACTGTTGGTACTGAGTAGAAAACTGTTAGCTGCTGGTTTCCAAATGTTTTCTTGGGTTACTCTTGTATCAGCAGTTCTCTGCTGTGTCAGATTGTGTGATAGTGCTGCAGATGAGCTGTGTGACCAAATATTTCTGTCCTCTGGTTTTAGGGTCACTTTAAAGGAGCTGTAGGAAAAAAATGTTTATGAAACAATAAACTTTCTGCATGGGTTAAGTTAAGGTTTTCTTGGGACGCGTTATCTTAAATTATCTTAAATTTTGTTTTAGGAACATCTATGCAGCTTAATTGCTTGTAAACATAGCTGGTCAAGTAATCCTTGAAGTGTTACGTGTTTATGCAATCAAGCAGCTAGTTTGCTTGCAGTGCTGTAGGAAAACAAATTATGAATCATTACTATCCTGCTCACGTAATGCTGCAATTGTTGCATTCTGTTGCATAAGGGATAGTCTCATGAAAACTTTGTTATGGCCAAAACTGCTTGTGAAGAGTTTAATGTTGTTTCTCACAGACTTTTTTCCGGATGTCTTGTATGTTGCTGAAGTGTAATCATGCATAATAATTGAATTCTTAATATCCTGTGGGATCTGGGCAGTAGTGCGTCTAGCCCAATACTCTGCCCCTCGTGATGGCATACTATTTAGGGAGATTGTTAGCCTGGCTATTTTCTGCAGTCCATACCCCTCATTTTCCCCCAGCATTCATAATTGTTGTCTTAGGAATATCAGAAGGAACATCTCTGCCCAGTTCCTTTTGAATCTCCTATTCTTCCTTCATGTCTCCTGGCAGGCTTCACTATCTTCTGTGCAAAGAAGTGTCTCTGTTTCTTGCACCTTTATAAAACTGCCTTCCCTTGGTGGGTGGCTTTTGTTTTTGGCTGGTGTAGAACAGGAAACAGAATGTATGATATATGTGTAGTTGTGTGTTCTTGCTCTGTATGTCACCAGGTATGGCTAAAGACCATAATTATAGAATCATAGAATGGTTTGGGTTGGAAGAGACCTTAAAGATCATCTCGTTCCAACCCCCCTGCCATGGGCAGGGACACCTTCCACCAGACCAGGTTGCTCCAAGCCCCATCCAACCTGGCCTTGAACACTGCCAGGGATGGGGCAACCACAACCTCTCTGGGCAACCTAACGCCAGTGCCTCGCCACCCTCACTGTGAAGAAGTTTGTCCTTACAACTAATGTAAATCTACCCTCCTTCAGTTTAAAGCCATTACCCCTGGTCCTGTCACTACATGCCCTTGTAAAAAGTCTGTCTCTGGATTTATTGTAGGCCCCCGGTAGGTACTGGAAGACTGCTATAAGGTCTCCCCTTGCTTTGTTTTTTCTCCTTTGATAGATTTAAAGAAGTGCTGAGCTCTTTTAGTCCCTTCTTGTAAGGCAAGCTCTTCATACCAGTGATCATCCTAGTAACATGTCTTCCCCATTGAAAATTACTTTATGATCAAGCCCAGAGTTAAATGTAATGTTCCAGCTGAGATCTTACCAGAGCTTTAGTTGGCATCTGGTTCTGACTTGTTCAGATTCTGGCCTTTATTGCTAGGAGAAGTAATTGCTACAAAGAAGGTGTCTGTGGGTGAACTTCATGGCTTTCCTGAAAACTTCTCTGTAGAAGCAGCTTTTATCTTCTGGACTTAGTGTAGGAGATGAAAAGTAGGGTGGAGAAATAGGACCCTCTCTTCTGAACTTCCTAGTGGACTGTAAGTTAAAACTCTTAGTCTTGATTACTAAGTATATAAGTTCTGATTCTTTGTCAGATATAAAACTTCTGTAGAAAGCTCATAATAGTAAAATAATGCTGTGAATATTTTAAATCTTAAAATATTTGAGTCACTTCAGAACCTTGTGAAGGAGCGTAGGTGGATCCTCTGTGAGCAAGGGAGCAAGCGTGGGGTTTGTGGGGTTTGGTTTTGTTGTGTGGGGTTTGTTTTTTTTTAATTTAAATCTCTTCAGAAAATAAAGTATTTCCTTTCTCTTTTATACTAACACTAAGAAGTCCTGCTCTTCCAAATTTTGTGTTTGTATATACTTACAAGGTAAATTGTTTTCAAATGGATGGAACTTTATTTTTAAGCTTGCATATTGGAGTATGTGGCTTCATTTATTCATGAAGCTACTGTTATAATCGTACTCATACATGAGGCTTAGTGTTTCCTAAAGCAAGCTTTGTACTTAAAGTAGTTGCCTAAAAGTTAAGTCTTGTTTTGCATGGCTTCTGTTAAGCATGTTAACTTACTTGATTGCCAGTACTTAGTAGTTATAAAAAACAGTTATCTTCAGGAACTGAATTAAATATTAAATAATAGACAATAGTAAATCAACATATACTTGCACGTTTATAACCGTCATGCTTCTTGTGCCAAAGAACTTGATAACAGTTGTGAATTCAGAGATCTGTTGTTAGGTAGACAGTCAAGAAATAAAATCTACAAGTAGCTAGTTGGGAGTAGTAAGTTGAGCATTCCCTTTGCTTATAGCCACACTAGCTTGTGATATTATGCAAGTTTAAATTTATCTGGCCAGGCAGGATACAGGTCAAAATAGGAATCAACACAACTTTTTTGTGATTGCCATAATATTTTTCAGTATACATAGCAGCTAGTTTTGCTTAAGTACAGTAATTTTTCTTTGTCTTTTCCATGGTTGCCTTTTCACATCCAAGAGAAAAGTTCTCTCTTTGCTTGGAAAGACTGGAGTGGCTCAGCTATTGGTGGCATGGAAGAAGGTGGAATGTGGTGCACAAATGTGAATGGGGCAGCTCTTAACATCTTGCAGTCTAGCTGCTGTCTGCAGTGTATTCTGTGTAACTGAACTTGAATAATAACTCAGGGCTTTGTTTTTCTTCCTTTATCACCTTAAATGACTTGATGAGCTTTTTTCTTTGCTTTTTGTCTTTCAACTGATTTTGAGTATATTCTCATACTTCATTTTTTAAACCCAAATGCACAGTCTCCCCTACCTAGAAGAATATTTTGTAAAGGATTTTTAAATGGTTAAAGCTAACTAAAAGGCTTACTCTGCCTGCTCTGGGAAAAATAGTGGATTTGCTTAGGCCTCCGACTTCTGCTAAGTACTTAAGCTTATGCATCAGTGGGACCTGCAAGTTGACTTGGGTAAGTGCCATAGGTACATATTATTGCTGAGAAGATAGTGGTTACAGGTATAGGGTATTTGGACTTGAGTGAGGAAAATCTTGGATTATGGTGTGTCAGATACTCATTTTCATCTTGTTAATAGTCTGTGAGATACTAACCATTTCTTACTGGGTGCTTAATCGTTTGTGATTCAAACACATGCTAAAGATATATCAGAACACTCAGAGTATCAACACTTCTGGATACTAACTCACCAAGGTTTGTTCACAGAACAGCCTAAAGCTGCAATTTGTGGATGGTTTGAGACTTTTGGAATAACCTATGTGAATTACAATACAGTCTTTGATTCACATATTTGTCTTTTGAATCGGAGGGGGTGGGGGTGGAGAAGGGGGGATAAAATGAAAACAGCCTTTATTATTCTGCCTGGGACAATTTGTTTTAGTAGTCACAGATGACAAATTTTGGGTTTTCTTTCATTCTAGGTTCAAAGGATCTTGTGGTAAAAGCACAGGTTTTAGCTGGTGGTAGAGGAAAAGGAACATTTGAAGGTGGCCTCAAAGGAGGAGTGAAAATAGTTTTTTCGTAAGTTGTTTCTAAATTATCTGACCAAGTGGAAAAACTTCAAAGTTTCACATTATGAGTTGAACCTATTTCTTAGTTTAAAATCAGTGTTTTAATAATTAACTTTAAAATAACAAAAATTAGATAAGATTTTTTTTATGCTACTTCTATTTTTCCAGCAGTTTCTTTGTCACATTCTGAGCTTCTTTTATTCTAGTCCAGAAGAAGCAAAAGATATCTCCTCCAAAATGATTGGAAAGAAGTTGTTTACCAAGCAGACAGGAGAAAAGGGCAGGATATGCAATCAAGTTTTTATCTGTGAGCGCAGATATCCCAGGAGAGAATACTATTTTGCAATAACAATGGAAAGGTCTTTTCAAGTGAGTAATATGAGAAATAGAAGTAAACTAATTAACTTGTTATAGCTGAATTTAAAAAAAAACAAAACAGCAAAACTGTTTACTGTACTGGTCACTTGCTTTTCAAAATCAGAAATATACATGAGCTAATTCTTGTTTCCTAGTATCTCTGATTATATGATTGCCTTAGTTTTTAATTGCTTTAAAAATGTAATGCTACAATTTAAATTTATGGAATAATAAATGAGTATCGGTAGCACAAACTGAAGTTCAGAGTCAAATGGCTGAAAGGGAAATGGGTGGAATGAGGGGGTTATTTTCATTTTGGTTTTAGTTCACACTTACCTACCAGATGCTCATACTAGTGTTTAGTTTAAAAATACAGCTATGTGTATGCATGTACATGTACACACTATTTAAGCATGTCAGGAACAAGATAAGTAAAAGGCTTTTGGAAGAGCCAATGGTCCTGGATAAATCAAACATCCTTTTTCTCCAATGTGTGGAGGTTCCTAGGGGTGCACAATTTTGAGAGTGCTGGTAGCTTTCTTATGTCAATACTCTTCAGGAACTGGTAAGAAGATTTGGGCCCAGAGGTCTGTCTTCAGAGCTTTCAGGAAGACGAAAGCCATAGTCTCTCCTGCTTGTACATTCTGTATGTGTGGGTATGTAGTTTTTTAGGCTACAATTCAAACGCATGTACTGAAATGTGTCAGTGTATTTTTTGACAGACTGGTGTTCCATTATGGAGCATAGAGCCTGAATTGCAAAATAACTTCAACAAAGCCAGGGTATAGCAGATTTTGGAACTTTATTTTCTGAAGCTCAGCAAAACCTGATTTTGGTCTATCCAGATGCTCAAGAGTTTGCAGAGGCACTGCTCTTGGTAATTAGAGGAGTATCTCTTTCATGATATTATTTCATGAGTATGAAATAATTTTCTGTGGAGGAATGAGGAAACTAGTCTTACTCTCTTCCCCCCCCCCCCCCCCAATCAGG